TTTTTTTGCATTTTCTCGAAATTTACCGGTCCGAATCGGTTCAAATTTTTAGGAAATCTAAGTTTAGTGAAGCCCTTTCAAATGACACCAACGGCGATGAAATCGGTCAAGTTGTTCAAAAGTTACAAGAGGTTTACACACACACACACACACACATACAGACGTACGGACATCATCGTAAAAACAGTCAGGGAAGCTTCCTGTGACCTTCAAACGTCGAGATCTGATGAAAACTCGATTTTTGTAAAACGGGGTGAAAACAATAACTTCCCGATTTTTAAAAATCTGAGATTTTTAGCGGGAAGTTAAAAATTTGAAATCTGAAATTTGAAAAACTGAAATGCAATTTTTTAAAAATATTTTCCTAGTTTTTATTTAATTTATGAACAAAATCAAAAAATGGTGGGCAGTCTGCTGATTTTAGCACTACGATAATTTAGTGTTTTTATTATTGTACATTAATACGTCATTATCAAGATAGTTGTATACTTACAAAAGACAAATCTAATAATATCATTGTTTATCGTCTTTTAATGTCGTTAAATTCATTTTAACTATATACGTACACTATCTGACAGGATAACGCTAAGATAAGTTGAATATTAATCTAATAAATACCCTTGCACTTGCAATCATAATAATAATAATAATGATAATAATATCTGTTTGTGTTGCTCTTACACAAGAATAAGAAGAAGAAACAAGTCGTTAATAGTGTATAAATTTTCACCGTGGTGGCGCACCAGTGCTTCGTACAGCCCTTAGTACGAGACGTCGCCGTGACTTTTGCATTAGTACACCGTGGAACATTGCGCGGTTCACGTGAAAATTTTATATACTCCGTTTCGGAATAATTCCCTAGTTAGTGATAGTTGATTTGTTTTTTTTTTTTTTATTTTAATAATTTATTAAGTTAAGGTAATTTTTACTCTTGGAGACTGTTTACTATAAAGTGTTTTGCCCATTAAAATCGAGGTCAAATTGATTATTATCGATGATATAAAATCACAAGTTGTTAAACCACGAGTGCGTCATCGGTTGCTGGGCACGTGGTCTCACTTTAACGTATTACTATTGTAATGCTAGATTTTTCTGGAGGTTAATGTACTGTTATTTTGACGCACCTATTGCTGCTAGTGGTGTATTAATTATTTATTGGTGGGTTAGTGATTAATTTAAGAGAGCGATAGTAACTAGAATCGCACATTGTATTGGAATTTTTATCATTTTTCCAAAAAATTTAAATTTCAGTGGTTTTTATTTTTTTGCTGATTGTTGAGCAAATAACAAAATTTACTATTTAATTCCAAGAAGCCACTGGAGCTGGTAAGAATAGAGATTTTTTATTTGGAGTAATTAACAGATTTTTTTATTTGTAAACAAGTGATATGATTAATACTTTACTTCTCTAGTTGTTAACAGAAAGACACATAATATTCACCTGATAACTGGTGAGAAGACTATAATGATAAATTTAATTGAATTTAAAATAAATTTTTTACATCGAAAATAATTATTTTATAATGTTATCAAAAATAAACACATGTTTTTATAAAAGTATTAATCGCAATTCAAACAGGACGTGGTTAGGTTACATTAGTGATAATTCTAGGTTACAACGTCAGTAAATGATGAAATAAATCTCATTCATACTATACTGATATTATTACATTTTTGAATTCCGATTTATTTGTATCTAAAAATATACGGGGTCAGTGTTTGACTCGAAGTTATGAGTCAACTATCAATACAAAAACAATAACAAGAGTAAATATAGACGCAAGATTTTATGTAATTTAATAAATTATTTTTTATAGACCGAAAATATTGAGTATACATTATAGTAAATTTTAATGGTCACAAATTTTTCAACCTTCATTAAGAGTTTTCCAAAGAATGGTGCGAACATTCTATCTTCTTGACATAAGTGTTATTTTATTTACTTATCGTTATTTGCCTAGAATATGACACATAAAGTAGCAGATATTTTTAAACTTTGTTCTTTTTAATATGGATAAAAATTGAAGTCAAATTGTAAAAAATTAATTTAAATGTTTATAGGTATTTTTTACGTATTACTCAATTTATTAATATTTCTTCCTGTTGATATTATTAAAAAAATCTGAAAAATAAATTATCTTAATAAATTAAGTAAAATTTACTTAAACCAAGAAAAATTTTGTAGTTTAAGAGTTTTTCTACTCAAATCAAGACAGTAAAGTTCTTCAAAATTATTTTCTTGATTCAAATTAATTTTTTTATTCTGTGCAAGCTCGAAATACTTACACTGAAAAAAAAAATTCTTGACTGAAGTGTAAATTTTTTTGGCTCAAGAAAATATTAAGAAAGGTTGAAAATTTCTTGAATGAAGTCGAAGTTCCTTGAGCCAAGAAAATTTTTTTTGCTCTACGGGCAGAAAGCGTCAAATTTCGGCCCGCTGCGCTAAACGAAATTGCCACTTTCTGCCTTCGTCGAGCAAAAAAATAGCATACACGCCTCGGGAAGTAAATAAGAAAGCCTCAGATCACATGATTACATGTGATCTGAGACATTTCTTACTTTATTACCCTCGGTGTGTAATATACTATTTCTTGCTTCAAAATAACTTTCGTTTTTCTTAAAATTTTATTGGCGCAAGAAACTTGTTTTTTGTGTGTAGAAAATTCAAATTACAAGGTTTTGAGCTCTTCGAGTTCAAAAATAGAGCTTTTATACATTTTGAGCTTTTCTAGTCAAAAAATCTAGTAGTTGTTTGCGGCGTTCAATGTAATTTCTTTAACACTATTAGATTATTGTTTTATTGACAATTAATTACAGAAAAAAAATAAACCAGTCTAGAAACATTTTTTATATTACTCCCTGGTTACATGATATATGATTTCTAATTCGTCAATTCAAAATTTAGGGCGGCTTCCAATTTCGTTAATCAAACGTAGGTCATCGATGCGGGTCATATTAAATTAAATAATCTTAATCATCTCAAACTTCTCACGAAAACACTTACATCACACCTAACACCACATCAAAGGACATTGGAAAGTTGTAGTTAATTTTTTGAATTTTTTATAATATTAATTTAGTAATGGAATTCATTTTTTTCATACGGTAAATGAACGCAGAGGATTATAGACACGTCATCTTGCAAATAATGTGACTATAATTCCAAGCAGGTTGTACCAATGAGTCATTTTCAATAATACATCTACTTAACTGACTTGCTCGTATGTATAACATATTCAATAACTCTGATAACTGGACAAGTGTACACTGTGTGACCGGGCACGCATTTATGCATGTTGCATGTACAAACTGAGCAACCGTTTTTCGTTCGTTGTCAACCTCAACGGCTGTTGAAACTGCAGATATTAATATAGTTAGTCACTTTAGAAACAATTGCCTTTTGCAACCAGAGTAAAAGGTGAATTTTTTTAAAAAGAATTTATATAAATATCAATAAATTTATTATGTATTTATAAAGATCATAGTTATTCCATAGATTTTAAAATCACTATCTCTTGATAATGATCGATTAATTTATATTATCAATAATTAATATAAATTTGAAAGTCATCAAAATTATTACTTAGAAAAGCACGGTACAAAATCTGGTTTTGAATTAAATATTATATTAATATCTTGAAGTGAGTCAAAATTAAATTTGAAATAATTTTGTTAATACATTCAAAACTAACGTTAAATAACATCAGTTTCAACTCATTTTTTTAAGTACAACAGAAGAACATAAAAGTATAAAAAATAAATTTTATTTATATTTTTTTTCATTTTAAGATCAGTAGAAAACTGATAAAAGCATATATGCATAAAAAAATTTTTGATTACATGAATTTTCTTGACAGTAAAAAATCTTTTCTCAATTTTGATCTCTCTTAGTTCAAACAAATATTATTTGTTTTGCTTCATATAAAATCAATTTCTAATATTTATCACAATAAATTAACCTTATTAAACGTTAACTAATAATTATTTTTAAAATTAAACTGCTACTTTTTTGGGATAAGAAAAAATTCAGTTCTTTAATGCTTTCGCTAAAATGACAATTTTATAAAACGAGAAATGAAATTATCTCGCGGTAAAAAAATTTTCTTGAATGAATTAAAAAATGTTTTTTTAGCTGAAGAAATAAATTAACAACAAAATTTTTCCATCAGATGTCCAAATTTTTAACAATTATCTAACAACATCTATAAATACTTTACAACGTAAAGGCTTCAACTTTAGTGCGACTTCTGGAAAAAAAGCACCTACATCCTCCCAGTGTATTACTAAACAGAGATAACAACTTATGTGTGGAAAAATATGGAGCAAAGTGTATCAAAATGCTTATACTTGTTAATGATATTGATAAATAAAAATACTAATTATTATTATTATCATCATCATAGATCAATATTATGTAGAATTATACATTTCTAGCCATTTACTGTAATCACAACTTAATTATCATTTTCAGAACATTCAATTACTACTCGTTACTTTAGGCGGTCTTTTTTGTAGTTTTTAAACCCAGTTGTAGAATAAAGTGTCTATTGGGTAAGTAACAAAAAAAAAGATGCTCAGTTAGTCGGTAGAAATGTTTATTTTTTTGTTTAAATTTATATAAAATTCGCCAGACGCCGGCGCTTAAGGTTGAGTGCAGCAGCAAGCACCTTTATATTCGCGCCACACCGTTAAGTTCCTCCGTACGCACGGCTGCTTGTCAAGCACACACACGCCACTTTCCCTTTTTTACACGCTTTTTTAAAATCGATCCCCGCGACGCCGTGAGCGCCTGACGACGCGACACAAAACAACTATATAGCTTTCCTTTTTGTACGGCTGGTTCTCTATGATTTTCTTTATTTATCATGTTACATATCATATTGCACGCCTCATAAGCGAAGCGTTGAGGTTGTGCTCTACTCTCGACATTTCAAAAAAAGCAGTTTTCTCGAAACTGAAATTGTTTTTTTGTTATTTATATCGCACTTACAGGTTAATATGAGTACACTTATATCAAGTCGAATAATTTGTCAGGCACATAAAATATATTTCAATAACAATTTTTTTGTTTAACATAATAAATAATAACATTAAACATAATCTTTTTTGGACGTCCGTATATGAATGGTTGTATCAAGGTTTGTAAAATTAATATGAGCGTTTAATTCACTGTCGTTAAATTATTATTTATAAAAAACTAATATATGACTGTGGATTTTTTTGTATATCTATCTATACATTTTATTATAGTATTTTTTTTCCTCACCTTAGAGTTATGGCGCCACTAAACCATAGCAGAGTTTTCTGTTTTTTATTATTTTGCTTTTTATATTTTATTTTAATCAATTTTATTGTGAAAAATGAGATTATGAGGCGTGCACTTTTGGATTTTCCAAACTTTTTTCTACTTTCCTTCATATTAATTTTAATTATTCATATGAAATAAATAAAAAAAAATTTTTTTAAAACTCTTGCCGAAAATGAGTTTAATTAAAATATTTTTAATGGTCGTTCATAATTTTTTTTAAAATTGTCAAAATGCATTCTATACACTTCTAAAAAAATTAACTTGATCAAAACAAAAAAATTGTATACTTAAAAAATTGTTTTAAAGAATTTGATCGAGCTGATAATTGATCTTGAATCAAGCTAGAGATGATTGAGAACGAAGTAAAATATACTCGTCCTAAGAAAAATTTATTTGTTCAAAAATACAGTAAAAAATTCTCCATTAACATAAACTTTTTATGTTTGATTAAAAAAAAATCACATTCTTCAAAATGATCGAATTTTTTTGTCATTAATCAAGTTAAATTTTTCCCTCAATGGAAAGATAAATAAAAATTATTTTTGAATTTAAAAAAATTAAACAACTTTGAAAACTTAAAAAAAAATTTTTGGACAATCTTTTAAAAAGTTTTAATCGAGCTGATTTTTAGAGAGGGGTTTTGAAACATGATAAACTATAGGATATTTTTGTTTTATAGAAGATTAAAAAAAGATAGTTTTTTTTTTACGCTACCCTTATATATATGTATGAATGTATAAATTGATCATACATATACAAAGTTAAAAAAGTATAGACAAAATCAGTAATATCAATATGCCTTTTTTGTATCTTCCAGAACCCTCTGATTGGCACTGTATATTACCATCAAAAAAGTAAAGGTTCATGAAACAAAAACCCTCTTGCCATATAGGTACCCACTATCAGCTCACTTTGTACTTTCCTTTTCAACGCCACCCGTAGATACTATAAAATTTTTTATTCAGCATCGCTGTTATTTCAATGAATTTTTAATAATTTTATTTTATAAAGAAATTGTAATTGTACAAAAAGTTAATCATCATCAGTAATAAAAAATTTTTTATTAGTTTTTAATGAAATATGTCGTAAAAGTGTTTCGATTTGGAATAGTTTAATTTAATATATTGAACAAGTTATCATTTGTTAGATTAAACACTTAATTTGTTATCACATTCTCTATTGTTGGATACGACAGTCTGCTTTACGATAATGACTTAGAATGATGTGTTAATGACTTTATTTCAAACAATAACTATTATAACTAATATAATTATTAACCGTAATCTACTAGAGATAATTTAAACCATGGTTGAATCACTTAAATAGAATTTTTTTTTTATCAAAAAAATAAAAAAAAAATGCAGCTTATAACTGTGACATTATTGCTGAGCTGAACTCAAGCAAGTTTTAAAAAATCGATTTGTACAAAAGTGAAAGTATGCACCAGTACAGTACCCTTATCTAGTACAGCCTGGAAATAGCTCCTACTACCCTCTTTTTTATTCTTTTTACTTATTTCCATCCAACTCCCTTGAATTCATTCACGTCACAGTAAGAAAGTAATTAATACTAAAACAGGCGTCTTACAAAGGAATATGTTATCAACAATGTTATCGATAAAAGATGACTTGAACATCATTGAAAAATTTATAAATATTAAAATTTAAAATTTTTTATTTATGATTATATTATATTAAAAAAAATATTTAATATTTAAAACATATTTTTTTAAATGCGTACTTATTGAATTTTTAAAATTATTGAAGTATGACGATTGATTCGTGATAATTTTTGTAAAAAATATTTAATTATGACTCACCGATTAATTAGTATAATATAAATAATAATAATAATTAATTATAATGTATTTTTTTTTTCTTTTATTAGTAGTGGCTCTGGGGCTAAAATTCTAATCAGCAATCTGCCAGCTCACGCTAGATTTGAAGACGTCGAGCTCCTGTTCTCGACATACGGACAGGTGCAAAACGTCGAAAAAGTACCATCTCGTGATCCAAATACACAAACTTTACTTCTTAGCTATGAAACTCAAGAGTTAGCACAGCAGTAAGTTTATCAATTTATTTTATTTATTATATTATATTTTTTTATTTTGAATTAAAAATTTTTTTGAATTTTAGGGCTGTGAACGAGTTGAATGGCTATGAATACGACGGAAATCCAATAAAAGTGGAAATGTCGAGTGCGGAAAGCCGACGAAGAGCACGTAACCAGCGTGGTGGCGTAGCCTTTTCTGGTCTACCGGGTTCTGGTCGTCAGACTGACTTTCCACTTCGTATTTTGGTACAGTCTGATATGGTTGGTGCTATAATCGGACGTCAAGGTTCTACCATACGTCAAATTACACAAATGACACGTGCTAGAGTTGACGTTCATCGCAAAGACAACGTTGGTTCTTTGGAAAAAGCAATTACTATTTATGGGAATCCTGAAAATTGTACAAATGCTTGTAAAAAAATATTGGAGGTCATGCAACAGGAAGCTAATAACACCAACAAAGGGTACGTTATTTATTATATTTTATTTTTAAATCCTCAAATTATAAAATACTTAATCATTTTCATATTTTGCTTATAAAATAAATTAGTATTAAAAAAACAAATTTAGATTCATAATTTTTTGAAATTCCTTTAATTTTTTCTTCATATTTTATTTGAAAAAAAAATCATGAACGTTGTCAAACGCCTGTTAATTTCAGTATCATTTATTTTATTTTAATAATTGATCTTTAAAAAATAATAATAATAATAATAAAACAACTTACTATTGCAGAGAAATCACACTTAAAATCCTTGCACACAATAATTTGATTGGTCGTATTATTGGCAAAGGGGGTAATACAATAAAAAGAATAATGATGGATACTGATACAAAGATCACTGTCAGTAGCATAAATGACATCAACAGTTTTAATTTGGAACGTATTATCACGGTCAAGGGCACTATCGACAACATGAGCAAAGCTGAGTCGATGATCTCCAGCAAACTTCGTCAAAGCTATGAAAATGATCTTCAAGCTATGGCTGTAACTATTACTTTAATTTTTTCTATTAATTTAATTATAATAAAGTAAAATCATGAAAACTAAGTCTTAATATTTTTAAATTCAACAGCCCCAGAGCATGATGTTCCCCGGTCTTCATCCGATGGCGATGATGTCCACAGCTGGTATGGGTTATAGTTCACGTGGGCCAGGGCTTTATGGTTCTGGACCAGCGCCATATCCTTATCAAGGAAGTTTACCCCCTCAACAAGGAGTACCAGCAAGTGATGCTCAAGAAACAACGTTTTTGTATATTCCCAACAATAGTGTGGGTGCAATTATTGGTACAAAAGGCTCACACATCAGGAATATAATCAGATTCTCTGGTGCAAGCGTTAAAATTGCTCCTTTAGAACAGGAAAAACCTGCTGATCAACAAACCGAACGTAAAGTTACTATTGTCGGTTCACCAGAGTCTCAGTGGAAAGTAAGTATTTTTTTTTTTTTTTTATTTACAAACACATTTTTCTTCTCTATCATTACTTCGATTCATCGCGTTTTTCATTAAAATGACTTGGCAAGCGATTGTAACGATTGCAACGATTCAATTTAGTTGATGCTTTGATCGTTAGATGTCAGTGGTTTTGATCGAGTTACCTTAAAGGTAGTCTTAAGTTTTCTCAGGTATAGGCTCTTGATTACCGTGTGGTCAAGGTAAGAGACTGTGATCCGTGAATAGTCAGGTTCAATTCTCATCTACGTCAAAAGAAATAAATCCTGCCGGTTTGGGGTAATGGTGGTACTTAACCATTACCTTGATTCGTGCAGGAAAATAAAAAGAAGAGTTCTCCGTGATTAGTTCGTATTAATAATTACAATCTAATTCCCTAAATCTCTTCGACAAATTATTTTTACATATTTATATCATTTAAGTAGGTATATTAGGTACTTTAAATAAACTATAAAATATAAATAATTTTTATAAACTTTCAGGCTCAGTATTTGATCTTTGAAAAAATGCGCGAAGAAGGTTTTGTGGCGGGAACTGAGGACGTGAGATTGACAATTGAAATTTTGGTACCAAGTGCTCAAGTTGGTCGCATTATTGGTAAAGGAGGTCAAAATGTAAGAGAACTTCAACGAGTTACTGGAAGTGTTATTAAGCTTTCAGAACAACAAGCAGTACCAGCAGCGGCTGATGAAGAAACTACTGTTCACATTATTGGGCCATTCTTCTCAGTTCAGGTAAAAACAAATAAAAATTAATTTTATTGATAATTATTATTTATTATTGTTAATTTTTATTAAATGATTAAAATTTATTTTTAGTCGGCCCAGCGAAGGATCAGAGCAATGGTCCTCCAATCAGGTGCCCCAGGAAGCGGACCAACTGGAACTGGAATACGCGCTGGTCGTGGAAGCAGCCAAGAAAGTGGTGCTCGTAGTCGGCGAGATGGAAGCGCGACATCTCAACAAGGAAGCTCGGCATCTCAGCAACAGCAACAGTCTACGCAACAACAGCAGTCTCAACAACAATCGCAGACATCCTCGCCACAAAGTTCTTCACCATCAAATCAACAACAACAGCCACAACAAAATCAGTAACGTTGATAAAGTTCCACTAGATGGCCAACCAACGTCATATTTAATTTCACTTCAATCGGCCTCGTTGGTTTTATGATTTTCGTAAACTCACGTAAACAATTAATTGAAAGCAATGATAAAATGCCAATTTTACGATAATTAATTAGTTATCATGCCATGAGTTTGATTAATTTTCGAATTCTTATTAAAAATTAATCGTGTTTTTATCAAACTCACGTGCTAAATGTTTTTTTTTTCTTATTGTTTTTCTTTTTTATTATTAGTTTTCTTTTTTTTTATTTTTATTGATCCAAGATGATCATAATGTGTAAATGTTTTACATAATATGGCTCTGGTAGTCATTATTCGTAGATAAAATTATCGTAACTTTGGAATTGTATCAATGCAATTATTCCGTTACTGAGTTTAATCGCGTCAATATCATTGTATAATTGATACAATAAAAGACGAAAAACAAAAAAGAAAATGATATTCCACGTCGCCGATTAAATGTGAATATGGTGGAAAACACACACAACCTTATTACCTCATTCATTACGATTAAAGATTTAATAAGATAGAACAGAGTGAAATGAGAAATGATAAACCAACTAATCTAAAGTCTACCTAATATTAAAGTTATAATAATAATATACAAAGAAGTTAATTAACGATTACACAATTATGTTATACCTGTTACTACTAATATTTGCTACCGCTATTATTATTATTATTAATTATTATTATTATTATTATTATTATATTATTAATATTATTACTATTATTATTATTATTACCAGTACCATTTTTTTCTGGTAGTCCAGATAAAATGGCTTGTTTTACAGTTGTTTATTTCTTTTTATACATAAAAATTAAATGCTGCAGTTTTATAATCATCCAAATTCAATTGAAGTTTGCGCAAACTAGATAGTTATAATAAGCAAAGCAGATAGAATTACACAGTTAAGTTGTATAATTGAAAAAAAGACAACATTTAAATATTGAAAACGAGCTGAGGAGCTTTTAGGCAACGCCCAATTTGCACCGTAATACCAAAGAAACTTTTATGATTTTTTTTGTATTATTAGTGAAGTAAAAATACGTGTTGCTAGTATGTTACACGTAGTGGGCTCAAATATTTAAATAATCGCCTCAAGTTCCATAATAAGAGCCGCTCGGCTACTCTATCAATTTATCTATTGAATAAATTGTTGTTCAATGTGGCTGTTAAATTTGATAGAGAAACATCAGTAATATTTAACGGTCTCAGTTTATAAAAGTTTAAGTACAGCAAGTGATCAATCGATTAATAATAATTAATAATAAAATGATAAAAATAAAAAAAAAATACTATAAATAATTGCAAAGAGACACAAAACTTTTTCAGGGATTTTTACTTTACCATGAGTGTAGTATTGTGTGAGTGTGCGTATGTTGACTGATTGATGAATATTAATTAATAAGTTATTGATTAATACGTAAATTTTTGATGAAAAAAAAAAAAAAATAAAGGGGAATAATGATGAAAAAGTAGGGCATGAGGTGAGGGTGTAGTACCCCTATGAATTATAATTAAAAAAAGGAAAAAAAAATAAATCAAAGAGAAAAGTAAAAACCGTCGTGGGCTATAGGGTCCTCACTGTCTTATTATTTTTGCAGTATTTCTAATATCGAAACAAATACACAATTGCTTCAATGTTATAGATATAGCAATCTAAACAATTAACCTAAGAAGAAAAATTACAATCTAATTCTATATGATTGTAATAATATTAATTAAACACCTGAGATTTTAACTCAGAATTGTGGTTTGGAAAAAAAAAAAAAAAAAAAAAAAAAAAAAAAAACAACCAATAAGCATATAAAACCTCAAAAATTACTTACTATCGGACTGACAATTCTACATCGTCGTGTTTGAAAGTATTACCAAAAAAACTTCAATCATTTTTTGGAAGATAATTATTATTATATTTATATTATAAATTATTCGGTACTTTCATTCATACGATAATTTCTTTACTTATCTACAGATAAATATCTAATTAAAGCCCGTTAAAATAAGATGACAATGTTTATGTATATCTCGTTACCTAATTCGAGAAAAAAATCTCGCGATATGACAGCAATTATTAATAATTATTTATTGTCATATTTGTCAATAAAAATTTTTTAATTGCTGTCTCATTATAAATTCTCTATATTTAGTAGGCATTGTAGTACAAAAAAAATGATGGGTTTAAAAATTAAAGTAAGAAGCTGTGTTTGCGTATCATCGATCAAATTTGGAAAGTATGTAGGTTTTATTAAATTTATCAAATTCAGGGATTATTATAAAAAAACAAAAAAATAACGAAAATCTTTTAATTCTAAATTGAATAGTTGGAATTAATTATTTTCAGTTGAAGATTTTTTTTAATAATCCTTCGAATAATGATAAGTAGATTTGAGCGGATGATAGAGAACGAAGTTAAAGAAAATTTTTTATTTTATTTTATTATTATTATTTTTTTTTGTTCCAAATAAAGGTCGTAGTAGGTGAGAGCGTAAATTTAAGGGAATAAGAGAAAATTAATTGAGAAAGTTAAAGAAGAAAAAATGAATAAAAATAAATAAAATAAGAGTATAAGTTTATTTTTGATACATTGTTGGAGGAGATCTTAGTACTTTCCTTTATCAATTTTTTTTTTGTTAAATGTTTTAATAACTTAGAAAATTTTAACGATATTAAGAAATTAAAAAGTTGATAATAAGTAAAGAAGAAAAAATAAAATTTTTAATATAATTAATAAAATAAACTTAAAAAAAAAAAAAAGTCGAATTAAAATGTTAAAACAAGACAAGGTAATTTCGTGAGTGAGTTAATCAAAGATGAGATAAATAAAAGTAAAAGAGATAATTAATGTTAAATGTATGATATATTTAATATATTTTAAATTACGGTGGTGGTCAGGTCGCAGGGAGATCGTATCACCATATAATACATACGTTAAATTTTAGCGTATTAAAGTTTTAATTCACAGTTTTATGTGATAATAAACAGTCTTACCATTTTTAAAATAAACACGGCCTCCCTCTTCAGCCACTTCTAGGTTATTTATCATGCATAAATATTAATGAAAATTGATAGTAATCGTAATTTGAAACTCAAAAAAAGAAGGTGCCAATAAATAATAGGACGTATAAAAAATAAAGAGTACAAATAATTAATCAATAAATCAAATTATCGTGAAAATTAAAAGGCACTTGTCACTCCCACTATCAGTTATAAATTAAAATCTTGAATTGTCATAATAATCAAATTTACTTCCAATAAATGTTAGCAATTTTAAACAATTAGAAAAATTAAAATGATATCACTCTTTTACATTTTTTATCATACAATATCAAAACTGTGATTTAATAACACTCACGTTTCAACAAGCTCCGGTCTTGTTTCTTTTAATATTTAATTATTAAAAAAAAAAAAGAAAAAAAAATGAAAAACTTTCTTCATATATCTAAATAGCTTCTGAATAATTATTAATAGACGTTTGTAATTGTAATTATTGTGTTGAATGAATTTGAACAAATCTTGATTTAAATATGCAAATAATTTTTTCGACTTCGTTGCTCGCTCATAATTCTGAAGCTCTACAATAGTGACGGAAAATAATAGTTATGAAGACATATGGACCAAATAGCAATTTATTGTCACGCAAATTGTAAAAAAAAAAAAATGTTTAATTTATTGTATAATTATTAAAAATCAAAAATAATTGACAAAAAATAATAATGAATAGCGAAAAAACTTTAAGTATCAACATCAAAATAAGTTTGAAAAAAAAAAATTATTTTGGCTGTTAACATATTCACACTAACATTAACTCATGTTATTCAAAATTCCAGCTAAAAATAACGTTAGGAGTAGTGAAAAAAAAAAAAAAAAAAAGAAATAAAAAAGTTGTTAATTAAAAAATAATAATTAAATAGAGAAATTTGAAAATACAAAAAAATACACACGCGCAACTTATTGAATAATGTTGCGTGCGTGAAACTCGCTCGTATGCTCGGGGAGTAAAAAATGTACAAATCAAACAAAGTAAAAGGAAAAAAAAAAAAAAACAGAGAAATTATTAATATAATAACTTAAAGATTTTAAAGTTATAAATTATTAAGTGTGGTAGAGTGTCAGAAAAAAAAATGAGTAAGGGAGAAAAAGATATGATAATTGATAAGAATACCACGGATAAATGTACAAAATCGAATAATCGCTAAATCTTAAATGTTAGTATCTAAAGTATTTAATCGCGCAGAGATTGTAATTGTGTGTTACTCAAAGGAGATATTAACGGACACATATTCTGAAAAACGTGCTTTACACTTAATCAATCCGTTTAATGCTCATTCCATTTCTTTAGAAAGAAAAAAAAAACGAACAAACAGATCTGTTGATTTTACAACGACAGTAACAACTAGCATCGTTGTTTTTTTGTTTCTTTTTTATTGTTAAAAAATAACAAATATATGAGCTCATAATTGACAAGCACAAAGCTAAAAGGACAAACTGAATAGACAAATGATGCGTAACAGCTACGCAAATCACAATAAAAACTGAGAAAATGACAACTCACGAGTTTTACAAAAACATAAAAAAAAAAAAAAACACTGCACATCGATGTAATAATTAGTCGAGTTGACAATTTTCCCGCGTATAACTCTACATTATTTCAACTTCGTATATTATCTTAACATGCATTTAATCACTTAAAAATAAACCTATAAATAAGCGTTAATGAAGAAAAATCAACCACCTTCCAATATTAAATAATTAAAAATAAAAAGCATTCGCTACATATGCATATATGTATACAAAAAAAATATGGAAGTATGTACGTAAGAAATTGATCACCTAGAATATTTTACGTAACATTTTCAGCATTTATACCTTTTTTATAACAGTATAATGATAATATTAATGATCCAACCGTAATAGCTATTAATTTATTAATTATATTAAATAGTGATAGTGATAATAGGCATTA